TTTTCGGTAACATTATTTTCTTAAAATTTTTATTAAAATTTTTTTAACATCATGATGTTATTATAATTTCTGCATTGCTCTTTTGCAGAGAAATCGATTATAAAATAAATCGAGTGTGGAACGAAAATGGAACCGTCACGTTTCAAAGGAGGAAAATTTGGTTCTTTGAACAATCCCTGTCGAATGGTGATCTAACTGACCAAGTTACAAACATAAATCCGATAGTTGCGGTAAGGCAGAATCATTTGACAACCGATTGTATAATTTCTTAAATTGTATATTCAATTGTTATATTAATTATTACATTGTATATTCAATTTTAGACAGTTGCAACTGCAGTGAAAGGTCAGTCGGCGTTTATACGTAAGTTAGTCAATGGAGCTATGGTGCGTTTAGGAGAGAAGTTAGTAATAACTAAAAGCGTGAAAATGCTGATATTTGAAGGATTTAATGACACGTTGTTGGAACTTGCGCGAAAGATGAAACTGACCAATTTACCTTATTCTAAATTTGGATGGTTCTACTCAGTAAGTTCAACGGATCAAACGTACATCAACCAATTTGATGGTAAAAATGTTTTTTTCTTATAGAGGAACGGCTCGGATACTTACGATGGCACATTCAATATGTTAACTGGAGCAAATAATTTGTTCGGTATGGGAATGATAAAAGAATGGAATTACAGTAACCGGACGGATGATTATACGGGTTCGTGTAGTATGATACATGGAACGTTAGGAGATTTTTGGCCACCTTTAGCGAACAATGATACGATACCTGTATTCGTCCCTGATATTTGCACGTGAGTAGTAAACAACGTTAGAATAAATATCATTAAGTTAATATGAAAATTTATTACATTTATTATAATTATATTATAAATAAAGCTTTGATTTAAATATTAAATAATCCGTTTGCTATTGAATTCCACTGTTAGTTTTTATACTGAAAATATATCTTCAGCTTGTTTTTGAAGATGTAGTATTAAATCATAAATAAATTGAAGTACATGTGTTCTTTACAAGTCTTATATTATATATAAAATCTAAATTGATACAAAGTTGATTTTAATCTTTTGAAAATCAACTTCAAATGGGAAGATAATGTATTAAAATTTACTTATTATTTAGATATTTGGATTTCAAATTCGAAGAAACAACGAAAGTTGAAGGTATAACAGGAAATAAGTACATCGGAACAAAAGATATGCTTGATAATGGTGAATCTGTACCTTCGAGACGATGTTTTTGTTCCAATGGGAATTGTGAACCTAGCGGAACATTAAATATTTCATCTTGCAAATTTGGAGCGCCAGCTTTTGTTAGTATGCCACACTTTTATCTAGCAGACCCGAGTTACACAGAGAACATAACAGGAATGTCACCAGATAAACAGAAACACGAATTACTGATTATTCTGGAACCGGTAAGTAACTTGCGTAAATTATCATTTTGAATGATACAAATAGAAAGTATGTAACGAATATTATACGGAAGAAATTTTAAAGACTACAGGTGCCCCACTTAGTGTTAAGGCGCAACTGCAATTAAATTTATTGTTGGAACCAGTAGCTGATATGAGGTAAGTAGCAATTGAGTACAGCACAATCATCAATAAAATAAAAACTTCGTAAGGAGAAAATAAAAGGAGAAATTATTTAAAAGATAAAATGGTTATAAAAATTTAAAAAAAAAGGGAAATTCTTAGACACTAACAAAATAATAATTTTATTTAATAGAATATGCAAAGCGTAATAAAGTGCTTTATTTAAAAAAATATTTACTTCTACCAATGCGCTTTATATAGAAACTAAACTGAGTAATTAAAAACAAAAAGTTCAAACTTTTAGAAAAGATATTTTAATAAATATATTAAGGACTATTTTTCAATACGTTAACATCAATTCGTCAATGCATTCATATTATAATTTTTTTGGTAACAGACAAGAAAATGTTTTGTTAAATTAATTTTCGATATTTCAGCATGTTTGAGAATATAAAGAAAACTTACATCCCAATGCTGTGGTTTACTCAAGAGGCTAATCTAACTGCCGAATACTCAGGCAACGTTGAGTTACTTTTAATTCTTCCATCATTAGGTTCTGTAACCTTTTTTGGAATCGCTGGAATCGGGGTTCTAATATTCTTCATTGGAATCTTTATTTATATACGACAGAGATGGCGAGGAGAAGAAAGTCAAGTATTAATATCAAAATACGATGGCGATGTTAGAACACGAGACGAAATGTAGTAATTATTTCCTTTTGTGGACGTGATTATTACAAGTCAGACGCCGAGATTCAAATTTATTTTCTTATGCGTTCACATTACTTCTTGTATCTGTCATAACTAAAACGTAAGAAGTTTTGTTTATACTTTTCACTAATTTATAAGATATATCAACGCATCGAAATTAGTATTTATGTAGATCGAATTTTCTATTCTACAAAGTAGAATTTACATCAACAAAAATAATAAATAATTTTACGTTGCTACAAACAGTGATATTAATAAAAATAACATTTTTAGATTTTTATTGGTGCCGTACTTGTATTAATCATGCTCTCTTACGTGCCATGAATAATATTAAGACGTTTTTACTTCCTCTGTTTCTTTTACTTTTTTCGTATATTCAAGCTTCCTTCTTTAATTTCAAATATATTATAGTTATAGAGGACACAGAGATAAGACTGTATCAATGTCTTATAAATGTTTGACAAGAGACAGTTAATGTACCATAAGGATATGAAGTGCCTACTTTATCTGTTAGAATACTTATAGTTGTTAAGGCTTCAAGATTGATTCGAATTTAACGCTATCTAGAAATTCGAATTTTCTAAGATATCCGAATTTCGATCCGAATAGTAAAAGTCGAATCCAGATCCGAATTTCAAATTCCGGATTCGTAGCAAATTTATAGCGAATTCGACTTTATTTATTTTACTTTTATTTAAAAGATAGCATTCATTTTTTATGCAATTTTAAATATTCTATTTTCTTAGAATTAAATATTCTATTATTCTTTTTTTTGTGTTTTAAAAAACCTTCAAAATAATCCAATTTTATGGTTATAACTTTCTCTTTTATAAGTTAATTTAATAATTTTAATAATATAAATTAAAAATTTTATATATATATATAACATTAATTAATTGTATATATATATTTTTTTTAAATTGTACATGTGAATTGTGAAATTCAATTTTTATTATTTAAAAAGTGACTTATGTTAAAAGTTATGAAATACATTTTTTATTTATATTTTTGCTATTTGTATTGAGTACGAATACACGAATACAATTTAATTATGGTAAAATGTTGCAGTCGGAAATTTTAGAAAATACATTCAGAAGTAATGCGAATAATACAAATATCGTTATCACGTGAAATTATCAAAAGATCTATTCATATAAAAAAATCCAAAGAAAGCAGTCTGTCAATAAACTCTAGATGATATATATTGTTTAACACTTATACGGTTTTATATTAATTTTTACAGTTTCAAATGTAACAAAACACATTGTAGTCTCACATGATGGAACTTACTATCCTAAATATCTGTGATATACAACGGAAAAGATGTACAGTGGCGTGCAAAAGTTTCCGGCCAATAACTTTTTGCATTTTAATTTATAAAAAAAGAAACTTGATAAAGATTTTAATTATCGAGTATTAGTACAAGCTGTGGGTAACGAACGCCTTGTACCAACACCTATTACCTATAATAATTTTATCAGACTCTTATAAATTAAGATACAAAATGTTACTGTCTGGAAACTTTTGCACGCCAATGTATGTGTAAAAAATATATAACTTTTATCGAAAGTGTATTTGTCGTTCATTTTATTCCTTTCCATAAGTATAACTTCGTAGAAACTAATTTGTCTTTGGAAGAAAATTGCAAAATCTGAAAAAAAAGTATTTTATGTATTTTTCTATAATTAAAAAAAATTCAAGTGCTTTGCTGTTTTCAATAAACAAACTCGTTCTCGATGCGGCGAGGATCTTTCGATTCTCAGGATAACGCCAAATTTGGATCCTTTTTGTTTATGCAAAAGTTTTAAATAAATAATAAATTGATACTTCCACTAAATAATTTTTTTATTTGATTACAAAGCTACTTTAATGATTTTATACTCCCAATAAAGTCAACAGTCTACAGTCAAATTTTATGAAAAATCATTGTTATTATAATAGCTTATAAACCAATTAAATTAATAGTCGATTAAGTTAATCGGCGTTGGTAACAGTCGCCCTAAGCTGTTACTTTATTTTGAAGCGCCTCTATGTCCACAAAACGTGGACATTGAACTATGTAGCCAATATCCACGATCGTGTCAGTAATGTCCACGATTTTTGGTTCGAATCTTCCCTATGTCTATGATTATCGGTCCGTTAGACAGATAAAGACAGACAATCGATTGATTGAATTATTATGCGCTGTGTTGCGTCATTTATCTATTAGGATATATCTTTTGTATAATAAATATAGAAACATCTCTAACTCTTCATCTTTTTTCGACAAGATATACAAAAAAATAATGACTAAATATGCCATGTATTGAGACAATTAAAAAACATGTTAATTTTGCTTGTTTTGTCACAAATTCTTATCTTTTCTACTCATACTGCTCAAATATGCTTTCGCGATGAATTAAAAAATCAGATTTCACATATTTGATATATTTTTATCAGATTTGATACATTTTCATCAAATATTACATGTACTCGAAGTTATACATAAGTCGTGTTGCTACAAAAATAAGATTTTAATAACATTTATTTTACCCAAACTAGTATAAAGCATGGTATTAAGTGTGAGACCAAAAATTACTAGATATTTAGATAAAAGAAAATGGAAATATTGACATAAAATAGTAATGTTCTCGTTTATACAACAGACTGTATTTGAATGACTTATTCGTGATCTTCTATTCACTAACTAATGATAGTATACAAAATTTTGTATGGATAGATATATAGAACAAAAGTAAAAGCCTGGTAAAGAAAGTAGTTATTTTGAGCATTTTTAAAACGATTATCAAATATAAAATAACTTTGTCTTACTTCAAATGACGATACATAATAGAAGATAATTAGATGCAGAAATGACGATACATAAGAAGAATAATCTATAACTCTCATCGCCTTCTGTGACTTCTTTTTCTGATTCTATAAAAATAGGAAAGTATAAAACATAAATATTGATATATAAATCCAAATATTATATCAGTTTAAAGAACTGCATTTAAATAATTATATAACACTTACTTTTTTGGTCCTTTTACGAAGCACCAATCGACAGAGATAGCTTGACCTAAGATTTCGGTACCATTTAAAGCCTCCTTCGCAGCTTGTGCTTCCTTAAAGGTTTCATATTCCACCAATGCATAGCCTTTCAAAAATCCCGTTCTTCTATCTAAATTCAAATGCAAGTTCTTGATTTGACCATACTCAGAGAATTTATCCTGAATATCATCCTCCTGTGCTTCTTCATGTACTGAATTTATAAATAAGATCCATCCTTCTACAGCTGAAATTATATGAAAAATATCAACTGTTTCAAAATCTTACAAATAAAAATAAGAAAATAAATTCTGCAATTCAAATTAGCAAGTCGTGACAAAGATATTCTTACATCTCTGCGGTCCAGGTTCATTATCGTCTTCTTCAACCAAATTCATGGATTCATAATGCCCAACGTCATCTCTCGTTGACACCAATTCCGCGCCATGGCCTCTACCTTTCCTTTTCTTCGCTTTTTCCTTAAGACGTGCAATACCCTCTGGAAACATCAATCAGAATAATTATTTACACCATCCACATTGTTATGATCCACACAGGTACTATTGTCATTTCTTTTCACATTTCTTATACGATTTCATGTAAGTTCAATACCATCAAGATATTGAATAGTTACTCGCAAAAAAACCGCTACTCCAAAATTTGGTAATTATTTACTTGAGCTATCTCATCTTCAATCTTGATAAAGCTTTTAATAACTTTATAGAGACACTGTGCTCGGTATGGTAAAAGGGATATAAATATATGAAATTAAATTATCGAATCTCTGTACAAAGTTGAGGTTACAATGCTCGTAAAATGTAATGAACAGGACTTACGATCTCCTTCGTCATCGACCTCAAACTCCTCAGCGTTATCGATGTCCAAAACATCCGCCATAGTTAAGGTTTCAGTATTTCAATAATTCTTGAAATGAGTGACCTCGAACACGTACAACTACAGTCGGAGACCGGAGAGAAGCCTTCTCTTCTTCTTCTTTAATGGGCGCATTCAGCGAACTCAACAATTGAGTGAGCGCTCATTATTATTGGTGTATTCTTCCAGATCTAAAATTATGATTGGATGATCTAAAAGAATACACCAATAATGTTGAGTCCGCTGAATGCGCCCAATGGCTCCCGCCTTCAAATAATAAAAGGAAGTCGATACGGCCAGATTACGTCCAAAAACCATAAAGCGGGGAGCACAGACTTTTGCATAACGCATAAAGCATGTGCATAAGGAATTTCATTGGTCCATTTTCTTATGCATGAGTCAATGGACCAATCAAATTCTTTATGTATATGGTTTATGCGTTATGCAAAAGCTGTGCTCCCCACTTAAGGCGAGAAACACACACTTTTGCATAACGCATAAAGCATGTGCATAAAGAATTTCATTGGCCCATTTTCTTATGCATGAGTCAATGGACCAATCAAATTCTTTATGTATATGGTTTATGCGTTATGCAAAAGTTATGCAAATTATTTATCTTACCTACTTTAAATGATATATACCATTTATCGACTCGCACAATTTTCGTAAGATAAACAATTTCTGATTATTTCTGAGGTATTATTATTGAGGTTATATACAGTATATGATTTCTGATAGCAAAATCTAATGTGTCGATCCTCCTCATCCGAAACGCGGTCGACATGATCAAAATTGACGAATATCAAGCGTCAATTTGGATCACATGATTCTTTTTGTCTACTGAAACAGCTAGTTTGAGCAGCTCCGTGAGAAACTGTTCGCGGTTAACCTACTTCCGGGAAAGTTCGCGTTTTTGCCGCCAGACGTTGCCACTGATGCAGAATTGCACTCGGCACTTGCCACTCTTGTCGATCTTTAATAATACATGGTCGTTCGTTTTCATGATGGTTTCATGACGAGACTTCGAACCAATGCATCGCGGGATATTTCTCGGAGATTCGTAGTAATTTTTTCTCCTTTTCTCATCCATTCTCAGAAGTGCTGGCCGCATTGCCATCCAATTGTTTTTAAGTGAGGCAGAGGAGCTGTCAAATAAAGAAGTTCTCAGGACTGACACGAAGAAACCAAACGCGTAATATCTCCCAGTGCTAAACGAAGTAATGTCGGATTCGCGGCGACGTCGTAAATCCAACCAGTCATGCGGTTCCGACGATCTTTCGGATTCGTACGAGGAACTAAACGCTACGAAAGAAACCCAGGTAAGTGGAACTCAGCTGTCGCCAAGAGGATAACGAGATTCTTGGGAGATGAATCTCAATCCGCACGAAATATCTACCCTCGTTAGCTTTTGGATTAGCGCTGTGTTTCTTGCGGACCTCCCCGCAAACCTCGAGCGATCTCTCTCGTGCAAAAGATGGAAAACAACGAGAATCTCGCCAGCGGGAATCATGCAACGATTAAGAAGACAGATTTTATTTGGCACTTATTAATTTTATCTTTAATCATCATCGCAAAAGTCTACGCTTTATGACTTATTGTTAGTTACGGACATGTACTGATTTCTTAGAACAATCTTTTTCTCGTGAATATATTATTTGTATATTTAGTTGGAATGTTTTCTTTAAATATTTCTTTAGTCTTCTTTTATTGTTTTATTAATTGCTTCATCAACTTTCTCGCTTTTAGCTAAGGATATTTTGACTGAGAGAAAGAAACAAAAAGAAGCAAAGTTGTAAATGGCTTTTAACTTGTTTTAATGTATCAGTTTATTCAGAATGAGTCGTATTCAATTTATATTATTCTATATACATAGTTAACATATATAGTTAAATAATAAAAAATTACACATCATATGCAAAAGCATTATCTTTTGATTTATATTATCTTTTAATTTAATATTTATTCATTATCTTTTGTTTTTCCTTTTGATCACAACATTAATTAAATTACACAGATACTGATGCAAACCTGGCGCCTGACTTTATCAAAAATAAAACTTGATAAAGTAGCTATCAGCTATAGCGAGTTTGTCCTTCGTCCGTACCTGTTTGTACCGACCTTTATTTTGTTTGTACTTCAAAGAATACAAAAATAAGTAAATTATAAAAAATAACCAGCGCCCAACTTTAAGATTTTTTTATGTCGCTTATGCCATTCGAAAGAGAATCGTTTGTACCCGTTTATACCTCTTTGATTTTTGTTTGTTCCTCAAGAGGTTCGGAGATACAGCTTTTTTTTGCTATATAGGGGTTATGCAAAAACTGAAAAGCGCTGTATCTCCAAATCCTTTAAGGTACAAACAAAAATGAAGATACAAACGAATACAAACGATTCTCTTTCAAATGTAATAAGCGACATTAAAAAGTCTTAAAGTTGGGCACTGGCTATTTTTTTATAATTTACTTATTTTTGTATTCTTTGAGGTACAAACAAAATGGTTGATATAAACAGGTACAAATGAAATACAAACGCGCTATGCTATCAATTTTTATTATTGATAAAATCGAGCGCCAGGTTTACACAGATAATTAATCATTGGAATTAACCAGTAGATTGACAGAGATAAGGATCAATTTTAGAAAAATGAAAAAATGATATATATAATTGATACATATTTAGAAACAATTGATAAATAATTAACATAAGTAAATTCTAGTATTCTAATATTCTATTGATACATATTTATGAAGCTTTCAAGAATAATTTAAAACTAATTTGGACATATTATATTGACTAATTTTCTTTCTATAGAGTAGTGAACAAACTGATGGACATCAAGATTCAGAATGTGACATTTATGAAAGTGACTCAGATACTGAATCGCAAGAAGGTGGGGAACAACGTGAAAGTGGAGATGGACAAGAAGAGGAAAAACCACAGAAGAAGTTGGACGATGATGAAGACAGACGTAACCCACAGTACATACCAAAACGAGGAACGTTTTACGAACATGATGATCGTACAACTGACGAAGTGACTGAGAATAACACAGAACAGCAGACAAATGCAAAAGAAACCAAGGAAAAGAAAGTATGGAAAGACAAGGAAGACAGATGGGACCACGATCGATATAATGACGAAGAGCAGGCTCCAAAAAGACCTGAAGAATTGATAGCAACGTATGGTTATGATATTAGAAATGAAGAAGGACCACCTAGAGCTAGAAGGAGAAGAAGATATGGGTGAGTTTATCGCCGAGTTTTGTTTTCTTTAAATCCTGATTTTTTTATGTTACTTATATTTTCTCAGTCGTGGACCTAACAAGTATACAAGGAATTGGGAGGATGAAGATGCTTACGGAAAGACTACAACTGGTAGAGGAAATAATAGACGCTTCCAAAAAAATAACGAAGATTTTCCTGCCCTTGGTAATAGTAAGGTAAAACTCGCAAAATATACATTTAACTACTTTAACTGAAAAATTCAAACATTTTAATAAGAAACAACATCAGAGTTTCTTTCTTTAACACTAACAAATTGCGAATATACATTAAAGTACACAAAGATCTATTCCAATTTGTAAATCTAACGTGGTTTATAAAACTAATTGCAACGATTGTGACGCAATATATGTAGGACAGACAAAGAAGACAATTGAAAACACGTATTGCAGAACATCGTAATCATATACGTTATAATTCATCTTCCAAATCGGTGATAACTGATCATAGACTGGGCAACTTGGACATGATTTTGATTGGGATAACATTCACATTCTAGACGAAGAATTTCAGAATTCTTGTTACAGAAAACGTCTAATAGAAATGCTTAATATTAAAAAGCAGAAAAACAGTCTTAACCTCTAGATAGACACAGAAGGATTACACGTAGCATATATTCCGATCATAAACAAGATTTGACTTTGCATCACCAAATTTCTCATTTTAATATTGTACCGACAACTGTGAAAATTAAACGTGTCTTTTCTTATTATGACAATCGACAATCGTAATTTGTAATTTTTTAATTTTAATCATTGACATTCGTGTATTACGTGACTATCTCTTTTGACTTTAATTGCGTTTGCGAGATGTCGACCATTTGACGTTCTATTTGATATTAATATGTTATGGACAATTTGGTGAGTTTTTAACAACTTGACATTCTTTATGTGTATTGTTTTAAATTTTTATTTTTTAATCAAAACAAAAAAATCTTTTTTCCCCTATCAGAACATGGTGAAACTCGGTTTTAATTGGTCTTTCAATCATTTGCTGAACAAGGACGATTTTATCTTGTTCAGAATGTCCATCGCATCGTTTATCTTCAAAATAGCGTTTTTAATATATCAATTTTATGGTTTAAAATATAATATGTTGGTGTTATGTTATATAATTGTTGAACATCTGAGGAGGGCTGAATCATACAGCTGTAACATGTAATGCGTAGTTATGTTAATTAATCAAATGTTAAAGTAAAATTTATAATTAAATCATGGTTTTTCACATATTTTATTTTATTTGAATTTTTGATAAATTATTTCTACTAATTTGACTTTTATCAGTCCTTTTGTATTACACAATTGTCATTTTTATATTAAGAGTTTTTATATTGAAATATTATTTTTAAAATATACATTATTCATTATTACAAGTTTTATTAAGTTTCTCTTTGTAATATAGAATACTCCAAACAAAGTAGAGGAACCTGTAATTTCATCAGCTTGGTATAGCAGCAAGAATAAAACACAGAATAAAACTCAAAACTTTCCACCACTTCAATCTCAACAGGATAATGCAAAAACTAAACCTACAATTGCTTCCAATACATCCACGTACGTGTAACAGTTTTTTGTATTATATTTATAAACAAGTTTTTTTATTGATAACGAGATGAATTTTTGATGAACGAAAATGTTATTATAGAGGTGAAAATAAAGCATCAGATGAATCCACTAATATATCTTGGAAAAAGGACAGTAGACACGTTACTCAAAATCAAAATACAAATGGAAACATTGGCGATGATGGAGAAAAGTTAGCTAATACCAAGCCATCATCAAGGGAGACTAACAAGAGGAATACCCAGGAGTCTGTAAGCTTGGTCGCCAGTAGGACGCGTGGAAG